CTCTTTCGAGGGTCCTTTCTGAATACACAGTTCAGTCTAGTGCTCCATGGCTCCCATGAAAGAAGTCAAGGAAGTAGGAGCAGAAAAGGGTCTAAGCAACAGTTTAGCCGATGGATGGTAGAATGAGAAAGGCAAACAAATGTGGCAATGGAATCTCCATTAAAGACAAAAAGGAAATGAAGGAGAGAGGTGAGGATCACCATACTGTCGCCATCAAGTTATAAACTTTATCCAAATGAGAAAAACCAGGACCTCACTGAACGGCCAAGGGGAGCAGCCAGAATGTCCTTATGGGGGCAGCCTGACGGACAAGTGCCACACTATGAGGGCCACCACCATGCTGCTCTCCAGCACAGCAGGCCCCTCACGCATGGTGGCCGGGAGCAACCTTCTGCAGTCAGACCTGTCGGGGTCTAAACCCCAGCTCCACCACGCAGCGAAGCATTCAGCTCTCAGTGCCTATTTCCTCCACTGAAGAATGGTGATAAAAATAATATCCCCCTCACAGTGCGTCGTGAGGCTTACATGGTGACGGTATAAAACACTAGCACAGGGCTCAAGGCAGGGACTGGAGAGCCGTTATCTCCCTCAATATTATCATCCGGGGGCATTCAAAGGACCCATGGTTATTTTTAATCACGGCAACACAGGCTGGCTGGAGGAAAGGGGAAATAATCTTAATAGCAACTTTATAGCTTCATAGACTTAGAGGGCAAGAAAAGTCAGTCACCGTGTTCTTAGAGTGGCTGAAAGCAGACACGCTTAGAAACCGCTCACAGTCCTCCGTGGCCACCCACTCACGACCCACGAGTGGGCTCCTCGTTGAGAGCTACGCTAAAACCACACTGGCCGTCACCCTCCCCAGACCGCCTCCACGCTTCCCGGAGCACATCCTCGCTTCTCTGGCGAGAAATACGCAGCATCTGTGAACAGTGCCAGGCGAACCTTAGCCGCGGTCAGTCCTCAAAAGCCCTTTTCACAAATCCTAAACCCCTACACGTGTCTAAACTTATGTTACTTTTACAAATAGCCTAGTAGCCACGACTTGGACTCAAAACTGACTACTAGATAATCAGTTAAACTGAAACGGCCCACATTTCACCCAGATACGGGTCTGCTACAGAACCAGTTTACTCGAGCCCCGAGCCCTCCACAGAAAAGGCTGGCGGCTTCCAAATCCCCTTCTCAGGACCTGCTTCTGGGAGCCTTCCTAACACGCGCTTGTAGTGTGCCTGAAACTCTCAAGACCCTTCTGCAAAAACCCAGCTATGGGTTGTCTTGAGAACACGATACGTGGTCAGACGTCCGCTGGGACGCCATTTCGTAGAGGCTAAGGGTGTTCTCCTTCCTCATCAGTAAACTGGAAACAGTGGCCACATCCCAGAACGCTGGTGACGATGGAACGTGAAGTCACGTGAAAGGGGCCCCGCACGGCCTGTGCAGGAGAAAAGGGGGTGTGAGTGGAGCCAACAGGAACAAGAAGTCAGCGTCACAGCTTCCCTTAGTCTTTTAGCCAGAGCGCCCAGTAAGCGCCAGGCTCAGAATCTCCCTCAGAATCTCAGAATCTCTGACGGATGCTCCCCCCCGAATCCTTACCACCACCATCTTCTTGGTGAGGAAACAAGGCTGAGGGAGGTGGCGTAACTCGCCAAAATTGCAAGGAAAGTCGGGGGCAGAGCTCGGACTCTTGACTCTAACTTCTCAGTTTCTTTCCCTTGGATAGCATCATCCACTCCCAGGGCAGTAAGTGATGCCTCTTCGGGTCTCTCCATTGGTAGCGTTTTTATATCAAGTAAACATTCACAAGAAGCATCCTTGCAACGTGCCAAGCACTCACTGTTACCTGCAGTGTCCCGTGAAATACTCACAACCACCCAGTGAAATGCCAGCCCCAGTGACAGATGACGAACTTGACTCTCAGGGAAAGTAAGCAAGTGACTTAACGTCGCTTGGCCAGTAAAAAGGAAGAGTCCTAGGACCCTAGCTGGGGTCAGCCTGATTTTAAATAACTGTACATTTAGATCAACTGGGCTAAAGATAGAAGGAAGCCCCCCCCCCAGGGGTTTGTCTCTGCTGCACTCACGACAATGCAGCGTGCAGAGGATGCGGAGAGCACTCTGAAAACGGGACCTGCAACTGCAGCAGACCCTGAGTTTGGAGGAAGATCAACACGGGACACTCTAAAGAGCTACGGTATTTAGGAAAGAGCCAGATTACCACATGTATGGGGACGTGAAATAAAAAAAAAATAAAAAATAAAAAATAAAAAAAGGAAAGAGCCAGAAGTTGTTCGGGCAATTCAATGTATTCATTTTGTTAAAAGGAAAGAAAAAAATAAAAAGAGAGAGAGTTAAGGTCCTTTTTTCGAAGAGCAAAGCACCCAAGCAGGGACTGCTCTCTGCCCTGACATCATCCATCATATGACGCCGCATGAGTCCTGAAACCATCGACTCTGTGTGTGCATGGAATTGTTCCCTCAAGGAAAGTGGCCGAAACTCAGTCGCATGAGACTCGTATAACTGCGCTGGACAGAGATGAAGGAAGACGCTCAGGGAAAGCTCTGCCTGGAGGGAGAGAGGGAGAGATGACCCAAGTATGCAGAGCCCTTCAAGCCTCACGTCCCCAGACACGCAGCAGCATGGAGGACACACACTTCACCCAGCAGGTGCGCCAGGAAAGGCACCGAGCTCCCAGAGCCCTGGGGACTGGGCATCGCTTTAAGGCACGCCTGGGTCCTCACCGGCACGGTGGACCCTGCTGGCTGAGGCACAGTGAGGCAGCTCAGGCCTGGCACAGCAGGGACCACCATCATGCTCAGAGCCCACCCCTCGGCAAGCCAGCCAAGCTGATGGATTGCACCCTGTCACGGTATTGATCCTGATGAACTAGGGGACCCTTGGCTATGATTAAATGAACCTGAGCGTGGAAAAAGTCTTGAGCTATAGATGATAGCATGCCACTTGGGAGACATCACCAGAAAATCAACTCCAAACAGCTCTAATGCAATGTGACCAAGACCCTAAGCATCTAGGGAGGGGGAAAAGGAGGTTCTACACAGCCAGAAGATGCCTTCCAGAGTCAGGAAGTCCCATGCCCTTGTCCTGCGAATGTTGAGAGTATGTTCTGTGCGCAGCACTCCAGTCCTTGGAGACCCAAGGCTGATACATGAGAAATGGAAGGCATAGAAAAGACTCATGCAGAGGTAACTAGGGAGGCAGGTAATATGACATGGCTCTTCAATGGGATCTGATAACCTGAATGACACCCACATCAGTTTGGCTTTCAGGATGTGTTTCCACCAAAGCAGGTTTGGTGTCTAAGCCATCCTCTGTCCCCCACATCAAGCATTCCACCTACCAACAGCATGCTTCCATGGCACAATCGGCGGAGCCTGACCCCTCAGTCATTCGGTGTGCCTTCAGCTGACACCCTGGGCACCTCGTGTGCCAGGAACCTCGCTGGGCCATAGGATGAGAGACCTTGACCTTGAGTCCCTGTCCCATGGAGCCCCCTGCTGGGAGGAAGAACAACGGTAGTCTAGCATGAATATGGCTAGAGAAATAACAATGCAATGTGATGAGCACAAGGACAGAAGAGCCCCCACTCCACGCCCAGACAGTGAGAGAGGTCAGTTGAGGAAGCTCCCTGGTGGCCATGCTGTGATTCTAGACAGTGAGGACAGGGATTGGAGCTCACAGGACTTGTGCCCCAGCCAAGGGGCTTGGCTTTTATCACAAAAGTCACAGTAGGCTGTGAAGCAGAGGAGTGACACCAGCACATCCACTCTGCAGCAAGGTCTTTCTGACTGCAGTTCCCAGAGGGCAGAGGTGTGGCAGGGTAGGTGGCTGGGGACAGGGAAAGTGGGTAGGGCACCTGGGTGGCCATGGGGACGGGACACAGAGGGAGAGAGGGCTGGGAAAGTCAATGGCTCTTGGTGGCCCATTGGCTATGGGGAGTGCAGGGGAAGATGGCGGCAAGTGCGCTGCCCAAGGTCTGCTTTAGAAGCTGGTGGCAAAGGGTCACTGGTGATGTAGGAAATTCGGGACTGGGGATGGTTGGGGAAGGAAATGGGGATCCGGTTCAGGCTGGGGCGTACAGTTTAGACACCCTCAGGAGGTCTGCGTGGAAATGTGCTGGGGGTGGCTGACCTCTGAATCAGGGACGCTGGACACAGGCTGGACGTGGAGCCGGGGCATGGCAGCCAGCAGGGGAAGCTGACTCCTGGTGACCATGTTGCCCCGGGAAAGCTCGGGGGATTATTTGAAACCACCACCACACCTTAAGAATCCATGGGTGTGGCTGGAGCGCAGGAAACACCAATGTTTAAGGAAAAGTAGAAAGGAGGGGAAATCCACGAGGAAGACTTTGAGAAAGACTGAATGAGAGAAGAAAAATCGGGAGTGATGCCATGCAAACAGAGGAAGGAGAGAGAGGGCGCTGGGTCTGATGTGCTCTGCACGGCAGCGGTGGCATCATCCGGGTTGGCAGAGGAAGCTGAGGCGCAGGGCCAGGCAGGGTAAGCAACCTGTCCAGGTCCCAGGCTCTTGGGCTCATCCGTTCATTCGTTCGTTCATTCGTTCATGCACGTAACGTCTACTTAGTGTCAAAACGAGTACCTGGCTGTGGGGGACGTGTCCACACGAACACGTCGATAAAGGAACTGAAGAGGGGTTTGTTCAGGCCTGGAGGCAACACCAACATTTGTGCAGATCCTCCACCACGCCAGCGCCCCCCACGCTATTGGAGGGTCCCCCGACAAGCCCACGTGGGCGACAGTCTGAGAAAAGCGGGTGGAGACCAAGCAGCGGTGAGACGCAGCCTCCGAGCGTGGGCGGCGGGCCTCTGTGCGGGCGGAGGGCCGGGCCGGGCGGCGCGGGGCTGCGGGGCGTCCTGCCTGCGGTGCGCGGGGCTGGAGCGCCACCTAGTGCCCGTCGCCCGCAGCACACAGCCCAGCGAGCTCTGCAGGCCACGAGCGCGGGGCTCTGGGGCAGCTCCAAGGCATTTGTGTCCCCCCGGACCTGGAGCAGTCTCGACCCTTGTTTTCCTCAACTCTTCAGTCCAACGTGGCCAGTCCAGGTGACCTGAAAGGTTTCTCCAACGAGGTCTTCGGTGACCTGAACACCGGGAATGATTATGACAGCTAGCAAGATACGGACTGCAAGAGTGATGAAAATCCTTAAAAGGCCAAGACAGTTGGACGGCACCGGGACAGAACCCCAGCGTCCCAGGGAGAGCTCAGCACAGGAGATAAAGAGAAGAAAACATAAACCTTGAAATTCAGCCGCCTTGAGCACACTGTTAATACCAGCCATGCTGAGTAATACATCCAATGAAGGAAATTATTTCCAGTGGGGGAAAAAGGAAGAAGAGAGAAGAAAGAAAAATAGACAGATATGTGCCCATGAGGGATTTTTAAAAGGGTAATAACAATATGGAAAAGAGTAAAGTGCATGGCCCTTTGTAGAAATGAGGAGGGGTCCACTTGATTTGGGATTCACTTGATGTGGGAATGATGGAATTTCCCTCTGCACCCAGCATAAATCAGTAAATCAGTCTTGAAACGTACCGGAGAAACCAACAAACACAACATTACCTTCTCCCGCATCTCTCATGCAAAGTGTCCCAAAGAGGCTCAGCAGAATGGAATTGAGCCGAGCTGCGATGAGAAAGCATACACGCTATAAAGGAGCATTCTATATAGAAGCAATCAATCCAAGGTGATTCATGCAATCAGCCAGTCAGAGGTGTAAATCCCACGGGGCGCATGAGGTATGCCACGGGCCCGGGTGCCTATTTTCTGGGGGCAATGAATGAATGGATTTCTCCCTCCTTCCCAGGCTCCAATGCTTTTAGCAATTGGCACTGTGGCAGGATTTATACCATGGTTCTTGTAAATTGTACCTTCTCTCTCTCCTTTTCAAAGATTTCTTTCAATAAAATGCAGATGGAATTGTTCGAGAGCTGCTTTTCTTGTGTTTATAGGTTACTTCTGCTCGGCTGCTTATGCAGGTGCGTGTCTCTAGGCCTCTTTGTTTTTTATTTTCTCTGCCTATTAGGGAAATGGAAACATATGGATTCCTTGTTTGGGCCCAGCGGACCTTATAGAATAGTATCCCTGTTGCCTTCCTCACACATCTTCCTGTAATCACATGGCTCTGAATTAGCCTCTTAATCCCCCAGTGGAAAAGCCATAATGCAAGGAAATTCAATAAAATGTATATGCGTTCTGAATGCCAAAGCATTTACAAAGTAGATGGGAATGTGGTCCTGCACACGGCCGTGTAAGGGAAGTCTCAGCTGGCATGGTCACAATGTGGGTAGAGAAGCAGACTTTCAACATGGTAGGCGTGCGCCTGGTGTTCCAGCAAGTTAAGATTTTAAAGTCTAGCTGGGAGAAAAGAGAAAACAGTACTGAAGTGCAAAGAAATCAGAGGCTTGGATTCAGATCTGAACCTCCAACATAATCACTTCCAGGTTGCATGAGTCGTTTGATGCAGAGATTCTGTGAATATTCTTTACCTGGAAGATGAAGAATCTAGAAACATATGCAGAGTGTTCCCAGAAATGCATAAAAACTAATGGTGAAGGCCTGCAGTAGGTAATATCCCCATGTTATAATTTTCATTGTAAATAAATATCCCATTTACTAAAGGCCGCATATGTTTTATTAAAAGGCCTCACTGCGGCCCTTTAGGAAGAGGAAATAAGTAAATGTTTACCCGGGAGGCTGTCCACCATCCCCAGCAGAGTGCTTATTAAGACTAATAGGAAGACATAACATCTACGTTGCTAAAAATTTCAGAAAAAGAACATCCGTCAGCTGAAGATTATCGTATTGCAGTCCTTCCTCCACACCAGGCCAAGGACAGCCCAGCCTCCTTACCAGGCAGGCGAGGAGGCAAAGCACACAGATGCCCGTCCCCACCCACGCCTGGACAAAAAGACAAATGTACCTTGTGAAGTCCCAAGCTCGCGATGTTATGCAATTGCGGAGCCCCACAAAACGTACACAGGTTCAGACCAAAATGTGGCTGGGTCCCATGTGCTTCCCCAAACCTTTTGGGAACACTGCCAAAGTTGCCATCTAGATGAAGTCACAGTATGGAGCCCTGACAACCAGGGCCCCTGACCACCTTCCCAACACAATGGGTGGGAAACCTGCTCTTTTGGATGGATAGATTCAACTTGGGGGGAAGAGGATGTAATCTCACAAGCCCTTCCCCAGATCCCAAGATGTGAAGATAGAGCCCCCTAAGGAAAGATATGGAGATATTCCCCCCCTAGTGGAGAATCACTGCATGTAACAAATATTACTGATGGCACCTTTTCCTCAGGTGAACAGAGTGGAAGTAGGAGAAAGAATCACTGATAGGGTCTACAGGGAAAACTCTTAATGATTGACCTGCATTCCTTGAACTTGATTCTCCCCCTCCCCAATTCATGAGTCCAATGCTATACTAGCTCCTTCTCCAAAGACAGCAATCATGGCCATCTAGTAGTGAGGTCCCTGACCTGGGAATTGACACGCCCCAGTTGTAGTCCCAGCTCAGCATTAAACAATGACCTCAAGCAGACTGTATAACATCTTGAGCCTCAGTTTCCAAACCTGCAAAATGAGAAGTTTAGACAAGATGATTTCTAAAATCATTTCCATTCTTAACATTCTAGCACTCTACATATCAAAGGTTAAATATTAACTATATTAAGATATGCTGCTTGCACCGTGCAAATGGGTGCTCATGACTTAGTTTAAGCACGGAAGCAGTTTCCCATCAGGGTGGGATTTGACCCTCCACCCTTGTGTGGACTACCTTCTGACCTTCAGCCCTCTTTCAAGAGGTGGCTGGCCAGAAAAAAAAGAAAAAGATTGCAAAAGATTGTTTTGTCATGGAAGCATTTTCTCATTTGGTTTCTTATTGCCAGCAGGAAGACATAATAAATACTAATTAAAATAACCTGATACAGCATCTTTCATCTCAACAAATAGCTCATCCCTCGTCTTTGCATAAACAAATAAGAAAAATTACATGAGGATATATGGCTCTAGAAAGAGTAAAAGAACAGAAGCTACATCGTGCATTAGTATATGCCACAAGTTATACTGAGAGCCTGTGACTGCAGCTATTTCAAATGTAATTACCTCAGTCACCCCCCACTGGGCAGAGACTCTTAAGGTCTGCTCAGCTTCTAGTGCATGGCTGTGCTCAATAAATGACAAATGCAATTATAATAATTAATAATTCATATACTAATAATGCCTTTCCCAAGCTCAGTAACTGCCCGCCAACATGCCATGCATACATGGAACCAATGCTGCCAGGCACCCCCAAATTTCTCCACACTTCCATAAACCTGTGTCCAAAGGTCACCTTGAAGAAGTAATCACAGTCGCCTGTTAGTCTAACAAAGACGGCTGGCTTAAATGCTTCATCATTTTCTCTCTATCTCCTTCCCATTTCAAATATTTGCAACTGTCTTTGAGACCCAGCCCGGAGAAATAGAGCCCTGTTGACACAGTAGATAGTTGTGTAGGGCCCCAGTGCACTGGCCTGAGGCACAGCTCAAGCACCTTCTTCTTTACCCAAAAACTGCAAAAAATCAGTGACTGAAACAGACATCCAGACCACCCCCCACCCCATGTCAGGGCCCACCCCAGCCGCTCCAGAGCCTTGGGGCGTGCACCAAGCCCCTTATCTGGGGTGAATTGGTGAGCTCCTTTGGCAAACCTCATCACACAGTGAACAGATTGTTCATTTCGGAGACAGTCACAAAAATCAAAAGCTCAAGCAGGTTATTAATATCCTAGCAAGTCTTCCCAGAAGAGGGCTAATGTTGATCTCTTTATCTCATCTGTGTTTTCTTTTTTCCTGGCGTTCTTTGACTTTTTACAATGCAGGTAATTCTACTCTGTTTGATCAGGACTCACTCGAGCTGCCTAATGAATTTCAATGACCAGTTTATTTAGTTTTCCAACGGGCCTCTCCTCCCCAGACATTCCACGCGATTTCCAAACCGAGATTAAAACTCAGCGTTCCTGACTCTCCCCATCCCCACCCCCCAGATCTGCCTGCTCTTCCCCTAGACCTTCCCGTTTTTCTGCAATAATAAGGCCACGGTCAGCAGGAAGGAGAGAGGCTGATGTCATCAGACAACTCTCTAATCCTTCTGGAGCCCAGAAATGACTGACCTTTTGTTATGCGCAAAATCCACTCCTACATCCTAACTCTGAGGGACCGGAAGGCAAATGAGTCCTTTAAACTGATCGTCTTGCTTCTTACAAATCCTTTTCTCACACTGTTTTTTCAGTTTCAGGTTCCAAGGAACACCAACCAAAACATAGCTTCTGAGTTCACCTTCAAAAGTTAAAGTATATATAAAACTAACTTTCAGATTTAATTTTCTGGGTGTTGATGAGATCGCATTCATCAAGATAATGCTTAATTGGAGAGCTCTGTTAAGCACAGCGTTGGCACAGAATCACCCTAAATAGCTGCTGAGTTCCCACTTTCCACATCTGCACGCATCAGTTCTGCCTGTAGTCCTCCTGGAGGAAGTGCTCTGTTTGTGTTTGGGGTACATTTTATTCCTCATAGGGTGCTGGGAATGAAACTCTTTGAATATGAGGGTTTCTGTCCCCCATGCTGTGAGCTCAGAATTGTTGTCAAAGGTATCTGTCCCTGTGTTAACATTCTTTTTCCGGAACCATTACAGACATCTTTGCCTTTGGTCCAGTTCTTTGTTTTAATGAATTCGAGATTTCTTGTTAAATGAATACATTGCTCATCTGTAGGTAGGGCCATAAGAGAAGCCCAATATAACAAACTCATCCTTTTTCCCTATTAATCTGCTCTTCCTCTCATATTCTTTATATTAATTCAGGGACATCACCCTTCCCCTAGTCCAGAAGTTGGCAAACTCTTCCTGTAAATGGCCAGAAAATAAATATTAATATTTTAGGATTTGGGGCCATAAGGTCTATGTCACAAATTCAGCTCTGCTGTTGCAGTGCAAAAGCAGTGGTAGACAAAACATAAATGAATGGCATGGTCATGTTCCAATAAAACTTTATTTACAAAAACAGGTGTGCAATGAACTAAATGTTTTGTTTGTTTGTTTGTTTGTTTGAGACAGAGTCTCCCTTTATTGCCCAGGCTAGATTGAGTGCCATGGCGTCAGCCTGGCTCACAGCAACCTCAAACTCCCAGGCTCAAGCAATCCTTCTGCCTCAGCCTCCCGAGTAGCTGGGACTACAGGCATGCACCACCATGCCCAGTTAATTTTTTCTATATATTTTTAGTTGGCCAATTAATTTCTTTCTATTTATGGTAGAGGCGGGGTCTCGCTCTTGCTCAGGCTGGTTTCGAACTCCTGACCTCGAGCAATCTGCTCACCTCGGCCTCCCAGAGTGCTAGGATTACAGGTGTGAGACATCACACGTGGCCAAATGTCAGTGTCTTGATGTCAGACTTTCCAGATTCCAGAACTATGAGAAACAAGTTTCTGTTGTTTATAAACTACCCAGTCTATGGTGTTTTGTTATAGACAAGGTAGTTGGCCAGCTTTTGCCCTAGGGTCATAATTTATCAACGCTTGCGACCACAAACCTGAGGACCATCCACGTTTCCTTCTCTCTTTCTCCCCATACATCCAATCAATAGATGTCTACCAATCCTACCCCCTAAGTATTTCTGAAATCTGCTCTGCATTGCCATATTTAAGTTCTTACTCTGCTTTAAGAAATTGCAATTGCAAATGATAGAAAATGCAAGAAAGACAATGGGGGAATGCCAGTGTTCAAAGAAAATTGCTCATGCATCAAAAGATTAGACAAAAATGTATACTCACTGTATTTAATCAAATCTAAGATCCCATTGGTTGTAAGACGTACATTATTTTATGCATACCACCAAGAAAGAAAAAATGCAGTCAAACCTACAATCAAGCCTTTCTTATCAGGCTGGGTGTGGTGGCTCACGCCTGTAATCCTAGCACTCTGGGAGGCCAAGGCAGGCAGATTGCTCAAGGTCAGGAGTTTGAAACCAGCCTGAGCAAGAGTGAGACCTTGTCTCTACTATAAACAGAAAAAAAAAATAAAAAAGAAATTAATTGGCCAACTAATATATATAGAAAAAATTAGCCGGGCATGGTGGCACATACTTGCAGTCCCAGCTACTGGGGAGGCTGAGGCAGCAGGATCGCTTGAGCTCAGGAGTTTGAGGTTGTTGTGAGCTAGGCTGAAGCCACGGCATTCACTCTAGCCTGGGCAACAAAGCAAGACTCTGTCTCAAAAAAAAAAAAAAAGCCTTTCCTATCACTTATAATTTTTATTTTATACTTCTTGAAAGAATTGTTTTAGATATTGAAAACATTGATTTTTGTTGTAAATCAGTCTTTGCATAATATATTTATATACATGCAAAATAAATTTGCTAGTACATTCCTAAAACTTCTTCATATGCAGAGTCCAATTCATATTTTGGGGCTTAGAAAACAGTGCCCAAAATTATGCTGCTTCAGCATGCCAAGCTCCTTAAATTAAAAGAAGTTGGTGGTTCCATCAGAAGTAACAGCTTAAAAAAAAAAAAAAAAGAAGTTGGTGGGAGGGAGGCCGAGTAAGGAGGATCACTTAAGGCCAGGAGTTTGAGACTGCAGTGAGCTGGGATGTGTGAACTAAAATGCTCACACACACACACACACACACACACACTCTCTCCCAATGGCTGACTGAATGGACCCCCTCCTGGCCAAAGGAATATTCTAGGGCAAAGTTGCCTGCCAGGAGGAGGGAGGTCAGACATGCCTTATCATGCCCCCTCCCTTCTTGGAGACTTCCTTTGTAACCCATTAACAGGCCTAAGGGTATGCAAGACAAACCTGCAGGGCCTCAATTTATGCAACAAATGGTGGCTTATCTCTGGTAAACAGTTTATGTTAAAACATTCCAAGTCTTTAGACAAAGCTTCATGTCTTTAGCCAATTACAATGTAAAGTATCTTTAAACCCACCTATAACCTGTAAGCCCCTCCCTTTGAGATGGCCCTCCTTTTTGGGCCAAACCAATGTATGCCTCCCACATATTGATTGATGGCTTTACCCGGAACCCTTATCTCTAAAATGTATAAAAACCAAACTGTAACCCAGCCACAGCAGTCCACTTGCCCAAGGCCTCTTGGCAGTGGCTCCAGGTCATGGTCCTCAAATTTGGCTCAGAATAAATCTCTTTAAAATTATTTTGCAGACTTTGGCTTTCTTTCCGTTGACAGATGACAGACACTACACTCTAGCCTAGGGGACAAAACAAGACCCTGTCTCAAAAAAAGAAACAAAGAAATTGGAAAACCTTAGAAGCAGCCTCAGAACCAAGGACTTTCTAACCTTTCTTGCCTGTCCCCTTCGCCCAAGCACAGGGAGGGGCACTCTCTAGAATTTCCTTATCTGACTGAGGAAACTTCTTTCAAAAGAAGTCCAATTGTCTTAAAACCCTCTCCCTAGGAATCTTATCAAATAACCAGGAAATATTAGCTGCAAGGAAGAGAAAAAAATAAAAGTCACCATGCTCATATAGACTTTTCATCTGTTCTATTGAAGGCGAGAGATTATCTGAGAAACTATCTCCATAATAATGCAACCTTAGGCCAGCCTGGGCAAGGTGGCTCACACCTGTAATCCTGGCACTCTGGGAGGCTGAGGGGGGAGGTTTGCTTGAGACCAGGAGTTTGAGACCAGCCTGAGCAAGAGCAAGACCCCATCTCTACTATAAATAGAAAGAAATTAGCCAAACAGCTAAAAATAGAAAGAATTAGCTGGGCATGGTGCATGTGCCTGTAGTCCCAGCTACTCGGGAGGCTGAGGCAGGAGGATCACTTGAGCCAAGGAGTTTGAGGTTGCTGTGAGCTAGGCTGATGCCACGGCATTCTAGCCCAGGCAAGAGAGTGAGACTCTGTCTCAAAAAAAATAAAATAAGACAACCTTTGCTGACAATGAAGTTCTGCCCCCCCCAATTTGTCCACACCTCCCCTAGGGTTCAGAGGAACTGTGTCTCGGGCCATTGTCTGTTTGGGGGGCTCATTTAATTCCCCTCAAAATTGCCTGCATTCGCCCATCTCCCTCTCCCCTATGAAGAGAGTACTGCTGTTTAGCTTCGGTCACTTAGCCCTTCTTTGAGTCTCATAGGTTGTGTGGCTCCCGCGCTTATGTGTTCATAAATCTGTATGCCTTTCCTCCTGCTAGTCTGTCTATTGTCAGTTTGTTAGGTAAATAGTGAGGGACTCCGGATCTCCTAGAGATGAAAGTGGGTGCTGTTGCCCCCATCTTGATCCTACTTCACCCTAATTCTCCATACCTGGGGAGTAGGGAACACCCTAGGAATCTGCCAATCAGAACTTGGCACACCAGCTGCAAAAGAATGCAGAGCACTCTGTAGCCCACGGGCCAAGCAGCATGGGTACCATAGAGTCCAGAAAGTGACCTAGAACCCACATGCACAGTAAGACTTAGGTCATGCAGCTCCCAGCTGTCCAATCAAAGTGGTTGTGTGGTGACCTCTGAACCACGAGGGAGGTCCCAGTCTGGGCCCTATAAAACAAGACACAGACCATAGCCAGCTTCTCTTTTTGTGCCCCTCCTTCTGCCCTCCCTTTGCTGTGACAGTGGATCCAGTTGTCATCTGTGGCATATATATGTATCATGCTCTGTAAACCTGTATCTTGCTCTTGCCCTACAATCCTCTCTTTCTCTCCTATATAAACCTCATGTTTGTGCTTGCCTAACTACAGTGCATCTGGTCATTCTTCAGCCATGAGCACACCAAGAACCGACATTTCAGACAAAAACCTGACAAGTTCATTTCAGCAGAGGGAGAAAAAATTCTCTTCACCTCTACACATAAATCATTTTCCTTCTGGAGTCAAGGAAGTCTGTATCTTTCAATTGGATATCTTCCCCTGTGCCACCAAGGGTGATGGCAATACGGCATTTCTTAAAAGAGTGCTCCACAATTGTTTCTAAGAATTCTCTCCAGGCCCTTGAAAACCCATTCAGCAAATTTTCATGCTGTCACGTTCTTGATCTTACTAGAAGGTATCAAGGGAATGTTTGCCAGCAACAGCCAGGACTCAAAATACCATCCTCAAAGAGACCTTTAATACTGTGGTCCTCAATCAGTCTACACCAGGAGCTGGGCCGCACAGCAGGAAGAGAGGGGGAGAGAGTGAGCGAGCAAAGCACCCCCGGCACCCACAGCCGCTCCCCATAGCTCACATCACCGCCCGAGCCGCGCCCCCCATCAGATCAGCAGCCTCAGACCCTCATAGTAGGAGCGAGAACCCCACTGCAAACTGCGTGTGAGGGATCCAGGCTGCACACTCCCCATGAGACTCCCTCCCTGGTGTCAAAAAGGTTGGGGACAGCTGCTTTAACAGTTTGAGGCTTAAAACATTGAGGATTAGCAGCTGACCAGTACTGCCACCAGGAAGAGCTAACTAATATGCCCATGGCTGGCAGTGACAACTACATCTGGAATTTTGTCTGGCAGACAGTTATTATAAAACAATGTCAATTTCAGAGATGGTCATGTAACGAAAGCGTGTGTCTTAGCATCTATGAAATGTGGTATATGGTTTAAGTTACAACAAATGTTTATGGCATGAATGAAACATTTTTCATGCTCTCACTACTTCAACCAGTTTTTTCCACTAAATAACTGCTACTGAAAACTCGGCACTTGTTGTGAGGCTGAAGAAGAACAAGGACAAGTGGTTTCAGGAGGAAGGAAAGAGTTTACTTTGCCAGCAAAGAGGAAAAATAGCAGACCTTCTCATCTCAAAATCCAAACCTTTCCTGCACATTCACAGAAATATAGAGCTTTTAAAGGATGGGTTCTCAGCTTCAGGCAATCACTGTTCAACTACAGTTGATGATTCTGATCATCCCAACTCTGCTGAAGACAATCTTGTGGCCTCGCCCAGGGCCTCCATTTACCAGGTCGGGCTGGGCCGTTTCCTGTGGCACAAATAGACTTATCCTGCCCCTCCCAACCACTGGCCTGAGGCAGGGATGAAGGCTCTAGTTCTCAAAAAGGAGTGGAGGATATTTTAAAGAGACAGAAAATATTTTTGCCATTTTTTTCTAGTCACATTTACTTATAGAATAACAAGAAACCGCTGCACATGCTAGTGCCAGTCAGTGATTTGATAAGGCAGGTCTCTTTAAATGAATATGTCACTAGCAGCTAGCCTGTCTTCACTGGCACCAGCTTTGGCAAATAAGAAAAAAAGAAACTAGTTTTCTCCCCCAAAATCCCTGCAATGGGCCTGAATAAATCTTAATCCCATACCAATTTGGCTTGAAATGATACAGTCCCGAAGGCAGAATGAGCATTAAGATTCTTAGGCCCAATCAAGTGTGGTGGCTCATACCTGCATTATCCCAGCACTTTGGGAAGCTGAGGCAGAAGGATCCCTTGAGTCCAGGAGTTCAAGACCAGCCTGGGCAACATAGCAAGACTCCCATCTCTACAAAGAAAAGTTTTAAATTAGCCAAAGGCTGGGTATGGTGGCTCACACCTGTAATCCCAGTGCTTTGGGAGGCCAAGGTGGGAGGATAGCTTGAGACCACGAGTTTGAAACCAGCCTAAGCAACATAGCAAAACCCCATCTCTACAAAAAAAAAAATGATTTTAATTAGCCTGATGTGGTGATGTGCACCTGTAATCCCAGCTACTTGAGAGGCAGAGGCAGGAGAATTGCTTGAGCCCAGGAACTTGAGGTTACAGTGAGCCATGATGGCATTACTGTACTCCAGCCTAGGTGACTGAGCAAGACTCTGTCTCTAAAAAAAATTAAATAAATAAATAAATGTTAAAAAGATTGCGAACTAAAATTCTCACCCCACCCCACCTCCACGGGCTGACTGAATGGACCCCCTCCTGGCCAAAGGAATATTCTAGGGCAAAGTTGCCTGCCAGGAGGAGGGAGGTCAGACATGCCTTATCATGCCCCCTCCCTTCTTGGAGATTTCTTTGTAGCCCATTAACAGGCCTAAGGGTATGCAAGACAAACCTGCAGGTCCTCAATTTATGCAACAAATGGTGGCTTATATCTCTGGTAAACAGTTTATGTTAAAACATTCCAAGTCTTTAGACAAAGCTTCATGTCTTTAGCCAATTACAATACAAAGAATCTTTAAACCCACCTATAACCTGTAAGCCCCCCCCCCTTCGAGATGGCCCTCCTTTTTGGGCCAAACCAATGTATGCCTCCCACATATTGATTGATGGCTTTACCCGGAACCCTTATCTCTAAAATGTATGAAAACCAAACTGTAACCCAGCCACAATGAGTCCACTTGCCCAAGGCCTCTTGGCAGTGGCTCCAGGTCAAGGTCCTCAAATTTGGCTCAGAATAAATCTCTTTAAAATTATTTTGCAGAGTTTGGCTTTTTTCCATTGACAAGATTCTTAGGCCTCATTCTACTAATCCAAAGATGACACCATGACCTCAAATTAGTGAAGTCTGTGGGACAAGTTTCAAAAGGAAAGCACTAAGTCTCACATTCTTGCAGACACAGCCCACGAAGGGCACCTACAATTGTGCAGGAAAAGCACCTGGGCACTGAGGCTTGCACAGGACTCTGCTCCCCACCAGCAACTTGGGCTGGCTCCACCTTCCTTCTAGGATTAGTTAATAGTTCAGCTACTGCCTATAGAAATGGGGCCACTATATAATTGAAGCACTAGAAGGGACCTCAGAGATCCAAAACCCGAAAGCACCAGTTGGGAAGACTGGAGAGAAGTGCATGTACCTCTGGTATCACTCCTGGTCAAAGGGAGTGACCAGGTGTCCTACTCCCCACACCTTGTGACCCTTGGTAGCAAAATCCTGCAATTCTTCAGTAAGATAATTTTTTTTTGGTTATTCAAATGAAATACCACCTACCCCAAACTCCAGAATAGGAGATAATCATTTTTCCCCTTTGAAATGTGGATGAGAGAAGTGCTGCCAAAAATTCCCTAAAACCTCTCTCCTTTCCAGCTTTAAATGGAATTAATTAAAGCACTTGAAAAATAAATACGATTGTTTGATTTTCTTGTGTTCCTAAAATACACGGCTGAGGTTTTCGAAAGAAAGGCGGCACAGCTAGCCCAGGCAACGGCTGGATGAAGCAACAGAGCTTCCAGTTCTGACACCCGGCTTCAAGAACTGCTTCTGATGAAACAAAACAAACAAAGTTAAGCATGAGCTCATACCACCCTTTTTCACATGAGCCGACATAATCCTGAGCTGAATGACTTTTGTGTTTGGGGGTGGGGGAGACTTGCCAGTAGGTGTAAAGAGATGGCGGGGCTGGAAGGAAAGAGGAAGGCGGAGGTCACTTTTCTCTGTCTTACTTCAGCTGTAAATTTTCTGGGATATACGACCGTGACAATTGATTTATTTTTCATTTAATACAGATTTATTCTGTGAAGCTTTGAACACTCACTGACTCAGAATGGAGCATTCTCAGTTTAGCAAAGCAAACGCTCGATAAATATTATTGGATATGAAATTTGTTAATCTGCACTTCCCCTGTTTGGAGATAACCATATTTTCTGCTGCCCCATTTGACAGATCTCCAACCTCTAGCATTTCAATGTTAATCTGAAAGGATAAGTGATCAAAGCTCATAACCTATTTTCTTTTCAGACAAGATTGACATTTAAAAAAAAAAAAAATCACATTCTTAAAATCACCCAAAGAACAAGTCAGGAATCCCTGGGGAATCTAATCAGATCTATTATGCTAACTATGAAGACACCCCTGCCCCCAACCCCTCAAGAAAAGATCTTAAGGAAGTTGAAATTAAATTGCCAAGTCTAATGGATTCCCCGTGTGACTAAAGCATTGTATTATTTCTCGTGTTTGAGGAGATACACAAATTTCACTGACAGGCTTAGACACTCCTGCTTGAACAGCTGTCGCCCGGCTCCTGTGTCTAAGGTCAGGTTCATCGATGGTGGAGCCCAGCAGCTCCTACTCCAGTGGGCTGAATGCATGAAAGAGTTCTCTGTTGACATTATTGTGATGCCTCCAGGAGACCCCTCCTCAGCCAGTCCCAGGGAGGATTCCGCCCCTTCATGATGGGAGGTGGACGCGATTAAAGGAATGGGGGAGATGAAAGCTCTTTCATCTGAGAGTCTGAATAGGACAGGGTGGTTCAAGGTCACCCAGAAGTACCAAATATTCCCTGCCCACTCCCCCAACCCCCCCACATGGCTTCCAATCCTCATCATTTTTTTCAACAACTTGCTTCTTCTTGGTCACCACTTTTTATGCAAACTCCAAAGAGAAAACTAAATAAACCATCACAAATCCTTTTGGGGAAAGGGTGGGATAAATACATTTAACAAATAATACTAACAAGCATTTGACCTTCTACTTTTCTTCTCTGCTATTCTCACATTGATTACCACGTGCACCCTCAGTAGCAAAATATAAAGTGCCCTTTAAGACTGTGGCCATCATGTGAAGCTTCTTTATTCTTCAATTCCACTTACTACATTTTAAATATATATTTATAAATCATCGTTTATTTATTTATTTATTTATTTATTTATTTATTTATCTTTGAGACAGAGTCTCACTTTGTTGCCCAGGCTAGAGTGAGTGCCGTGGCGTCAGCCTAGCTCACGGTAACCTCAATCTCCTGGGCTCAAACAATCCTACTGCCAGCCTCCCGAGTAGCTGGGACTACAGGCATGTGCCACCATGCCTGGCTAATTTTTTGTATATATATTTTTTTAGTTGACCAATTAATTTCTATTTTTTAGTAGAGATGGGGTCTCGCTCTTGCTCAGGCTGGTTTAGAACTCCTGACCTTGAGCAATCTGCCCGCCTTGGCCTCCCAGAATGCTAGGATTACAGGCGTGAGCCACCATGCCTGGCCTATAAATCATCATTTAAAATGTTAAATAATGAAAGAAATAGAATCACACAGTTCCCTAATTGTATACACTTATATGCATAATCTTAATAGTATAATATGAAATTTAATTTTTTTCAGATGGGTTATAAATAGGGTTAATATATTTTTTAGCTATATAGTGGACTTCTTTATCAGAACTCAAGCAGGAACCATATTCTCTCTTTCCTTTTTATGAATCTTAAACCTAGTTAGTAAACACTAAAAATAATATGATGCCTAAAGTTTAAAGCTAGCCACTCAGGGAGTTCTTTGTTCTTATTGTTTTTTACCAGTTTCTATCAAATTATTTCCATTCTTCAACATTCATTTTGAGTTCTGTTTAAGTAGCAGTTGCCCAAAAAAGTGTATCTAGCTATTAGAGAAAGAAATCAGAAAGTACTATGACTGCATCTCAAACTCTTCCTTTTACTATCAAGTTGTCATTCGAAATGGGCAAAGGAAAGAAAAAAGATGGTTCTGAGTTGAAAATGAGAAGCACAGCAGCTTGGGAGGGTTTATTACACCTGGCAATGAGAGAACGGTCAGGAGGCAGGAGGTCCACCCTCCACCTGCACGGACAGCACAGGCCCGGCTCCAAGTGGCAGGCTGGCGCCAACAAGCCCAGCCCCAGCCCAGAGCCCGCGAACTCGGAGAGGGCACCAGGTGAAGAACTTGGAAGGAGAAGGGAAGAGAGAACCTTTAAACTTTCACACATGCCTTCAGGACAAGGGTGGGAGGAGACACATAGAATGTGGAAAGAGCTCCAGACTCAAGTTAAGTTGCGCAGGACCTCGTCTTCACTCTGCCACCGTGTGAGTTCTCTGTTCCTACGTGTGCCCATGTGCTCAGGCTGCAATAACAAAATTCCACAGGCTGGGGCACTTGAACAACAGACCTTGATATTTCACGGCTGTGGAGTCTCAAAGTCCAAGATGTGCATGGCGGGTTTCTGGTGAGGCCCATCTTCCAGGCCTGCGGAGGACTGCCTTCCCCGTGTCCTCACGTGACCTCCGCTGACGATGGAGAACGCAAATAAGAAAGACGGAGTGCGCTCTTTGGTGTCTCTTCTTAAAAGAGCATAAATCTCATCAGACCAGGCCACCCCCTCCCGACCTCACCTAACCTAATCGTCCCCAAATGCCCCATCTCCAAACACCAACACATGAGGGGTTAGGACTTCAATATATGAATTTGGGGGGGGACACCATGTGTTACACAACAACCAACCACAAAGCCTAAGTGCCAAGCAACAATGACCATCCATTTCTCTCACATGTGCAAGGTTCATTGATCTCATCTGGACTCACTTGTGCCTTTGGGGTTCACCTGGGGCTCAGATCACCTAGACTGGCCCAGCTGGGGCAGCTCAGCTCTGTAGCCCACATCTCTCTCTCTCATCTAGCCCAGCCTTGTCCTTGTGGTGGTGGCAGAGGAGCAGAACTAGTTGTGTCATCTAGTTGTGTCACACTTGTTAACATCCCATTGGCCAAAGCCAGTCTGAGCTCAGAATCAGATTGGA